GAAACTCCTGAGACTCTTGCTGAGAAACCAGAGGTGAAGCAAGTGGGAGTTGATGTTGAGTTGCTCAAAGATTCACAGAGTAATGTTGTAGCGGATACTCAAGAAACTCCTGAGACTCTTGTTGAGAAGTCAGAGGTGAAGCAAGTGGGAGTTGAGGTTGAGTTGCTAAAAGATTCACATAGTGATGTAGCAGATACTCAAGAAACTCCTGAGACTCATGCTGTTGGCGAGGAACCCGGTCTATCATTCAAAACACAGAAGGCGATACCATTTCACTCGGAGGTTAGTAGAAGATGGTGACGTGTTTGGAGAAGATAGAGGGTGCAAAGAATCCAGCAAACATGTTGACAAAATATGTTGATGTTGGAATATTGAGGTTGTGCAAAACCTTAATTGGTATGGTGCAGTGAAGATGCTCATGGTCGTTTGAGAGTGAAATTCTTGGTTGACTAGATCAGTCTCCAAGTGGGAGAATTGTTAGGTTATGGAGCCTGATGCATATTTATAGCTTGGTTAACGGTTATATCCGGTAAAGCTATATTTGGTAAAGCTATATATAGTAGATGGTTAAATCGGGTAAAGCTATATATAGTAAATAGCTATATATAGCAGATGTTAAATCTGGTAAAGCTATATATAGTAAACTGAACTATATATATATATCCCGTCCGGTAGAGCTTTGAAAATGTACTTTCTATTCTCTGTACTCTCTCTTGTTGTACATACCTGAAGTCATCAATACAAAATCCTTTTAGCCAGAGTTCTCCTTGCAACTTTTCTCTATCCTTTTTCTTTGTGTTCATCTAGATTGAGCGTGTGCGTTGTTGTGCGATCCTAACAACTGGTATCGATCCTAACAAAAGTTTCAAAAAAGATGGACAGTTACTCGGTTTTTTTAGCAAGTGCTTCAAACGTCTCGGTTTTAGGGTATCTGAATTAGGGTTTGATTTTAAGCACTTTTTTACTATTGTATACACTCCGTTTCTTCGACATTCTATTCTAAATCATCATGCCTAATCATTCCCCACAAAATTTTCGAAAAAGATTGATAGTTACTCGGTTTTTTAAGCACGTGCTTCAAAAGTCCCAGTTTTGGGGTATCCGTATTAGGGTTCGATTTTAAGTACTTTTTTACTATTTTATACACTCCATTTTTCAACATTCTATTCTAAATCATCATGCCTAACCATTCCCCACAAAAGTTTCAAAAAAGATGGACAGTTACTAGGTTTTTTAGCACGTGTTTCAAACGTCTCGATTTTGGGCTTTTCGACGGTTCGATTTTAAGCACTTTTTTACTGTTTTATACACTCCGTTTCTTCGACATTCTATTCTAAATCATCATGCCTAATCATTCCCCACAAAAATTTCGAAAAAGATGGACAGTTACTAGGTTTTTTTAGCACGTTCTTCAATTGTCCCGGTTTTGGGGTAACCGAATTAGGGTTCGATTTTAAGGACTCTTTTACTGTTTTATACACTCCGTTTCTTTGACATTCTATTCGAAATCATCATGCCTAATCACTCCCCACAAAAGTTTTTATACACTCCGTTTCTTTGACATTCTATTCGAAATCATCATGCCTAATCACTCCCCACAAAAGTTTCGAAAAAGATGGACAGTTACTCGGTTTTTTTGGCACGGGCTTCAAACGTCCCAGTTGTCGGGTATCCGAATTAGGGTTCGATTTTAAGCACTTTTTTCCTATTTTATACACTCCGTTTCTTCGACATTCTATTCTAAATCATCATGCCTAATCACTCCCCACAAAAGTTTCGAAAAAGATGGACAGTTACTCGGTTTTTTTGGCACGGGCTTCAAACGTCCCAGTTGTCGGGTATCCGAATTAGGGTTCGATTTTAAGCACTTTTTTCCTATTTTATACACTCCGTTTCTTCGACATTCTATTCTAAATCATCATGCCTAATCATTCCCCACAAAAGTGTAGGTTGGAATATAACACATGTGGAATCAATTTGGATCTTAGGCACTTTTATTACATCAATTGTAGTAAATAACTGGCATGTTCATAAGTATTAAAACTTAATGAGTTGAAATACTAACCTTCTGTAGTTCAAACTCCTTTTTCCTCACGAACCGGTTTCGAACCACCACTGGTGTCTTCTCCACTATCCTCTGGCCTTAGAACGGGATTGTGGAATCCGGTGAGTGACTAAACTTGGGAGGGATTTTGTATATGTGAAGAGAGTGTTTGTGAGAGGTTTTTCTCAAGGTTTTTCACCAAGAAGAAAACCTTCCATGTACCATGATCACTCTTATTTAAAGAGTCATGTTTGCATGTTCATGCAAATTTGAGATCACCAAATTTTGACACTTAAAATTCCACTCAAATGTTTGGGATTATGTGGCAAGCATGCATGTTTGAGTTAACCAAATTTTGACACTCAAAATTCCACTCAAACTTGTGGGGTTTATTTGGCAAGCATGCAAGTTTGATTGAACAAAATTTTGACACCTCAAAACTCCACTAATATGGATTTTTCCATGAAGTCAACATTTTGACTTTCTTCCTTTTAATTCAACAATTAATTTGAATAATGAATTTCAAATTAAAGTAACCTTAAGTGATTAATTAAACTATTTAATTAATATTTAATATTAATTCAAATGTCAATCTCAATCAATTCCGACACATAATTGATTAAGATATCTAAATCTTATTTAAATATCTCAGATTCTCTCTTTTTGTTTAATTCGTAAATAAAAAAAAATGCGGTTAAATATATCGTATATATGTAACGCATATTCCCTAATTTGAATTCGAACACTTCGAACTCACTCGTCACACTATTCTATGGTTTAGTCCGATATGAGCTAGCAGAGGGACCTAATGGACCTATAGATCATGGGCTCCAACAATCCAAGATTAACCCGCTAAACTCATTAACCTTGTTAACCAACATTCGTTAACTACTAGGACACTCCACTATAGCCTAGTAGTTGCACTCCCCTCACTATAGATATATTTCTGTTCATTTGATATAACCATGATTAGTAAGTTGATCCTTCACAAGTTGTTCGTAACTAGAGTTGGGTCAATTTACCGTTTTACTCCACTATAGCCTAGTAGTTGCACTCCCCTCACTATAGATATATTTTTGTCTATTTGATATAACCATGATTAGTAAGTTGATCCTTCACAAGTTGTTCGTAACTAGAGCTAGGTCAATTTACCGTTTTACCCCTAAAGTTACTTCTTGTTCCTTATGTCTCCCTGATCCTCTAATGAACAATTGGTTTGTGGTCCAACCAGTAAACCGAATCCCTCTCAGGCTAATGAGAGGGTGGGGCCCCTTGTTCAAGACCTGGAGTCAGTGCTTAAGAGAACTACCTCTCTTCTATCCCTAAAAGTGGGTAGGAGTGAATTCCATCTTGCACCCCACGTCCCCAGCCATTCACCCAGACTTACCCCTGAAATGGGAAGCCTATTGAGTCGGCGAACTAGAGCCACCCTCACCCATGCAAATCTAAGGATAATTCCGAATAAACAGGAGTTCATGGTTAGCTCAGGATTAAAACTGAGTTACCTATGTTATCGAATGAAAAGAAAATCAGTCTCAACAGTAAACGACATTATAAAGTGAGAGTGGTTTTCTTCATGGTCCGATCTTATGCAATACTCATTGCATAGGACGCCCCTACTCACATGTCTCCACATGTACAATTTAGTGATCACATTGTTTATATCATATACAAAAGTTGGCCGCATCCATAGTGTCCCTAGAATAAGGTACTCAACCTTATCCTAATACTATAGATCATTTTGACTATATACTTGAACTTGATCCACTCTTACTACATATAATTCAAGTAATCATACTATAGCCAGAGTGTTCTTAGTTTATTGGATTTAGATTAATGATCGTAAAGTTCACTTTATTCAATAACAATCTATACTAATAAACAACAATAATAACTTTATTGAAAATAGAATATGTTTTTGTTTACAAACTATGAGTTTTAGGACATAAAACCCAACAAACTCCCACTTGGACTAAAACTCTAGTGGGGTTTTATAACGTTGAGTAGAGAGAAATACAATGAACTAGGGCATCACATACTCATGCCTTTTCTCCCACTTGCCCTAGATTACATAACTCGTAGTCCTAGACTCACTAGGTGCCCTTCAAACACTTCAGCCGTGAGGGGCTTTGTAAATGGATCAGCAATGTTGTGCTCTGAAGCTATCTGTGTGACGATTACATCTCCTCGTTGCACAATCTCCCTTATGAGATGATATTTGCGCTCAATATGTTTTCCTCACTTATGGCTTCTTGATTCTTTTGAATTTGCAACTGCTCCACTGTTATCACAATAAAGAGTGACGGGAAGATGCATATTTGGAACGACTTCCAAATCAGTTAAGAACTTCCTAAGCCATACAGATTCTTTCGCTGCTTCACAAGCAGCTAATCCAGCAAGTCGTGTTCTTAAATCTATCTTTTTCGTCAATTGTGTAATTTGGGTTGCAATTTTTGGATATGACTTGAAAAAATTTAGGTTTTAGATTAGAAAATTAAGTGACAAGTATTAATATATATTTTAGGAATTTACATTTAATATCGAATTATCTACCTATTTATCCAGACCAATTTTAGTTTTAGGAAAAAGGTCGATAGTCCTAGAAAAATTAAATATCAAAAGTAGCTAAATGTTCTAGGAGTTTAATGTACAAGAACTCATCAAAATTGGCCCAAATTCGTGGTAAATAAGGCCAAAAAAACAACAAAAATCACAAAAGAGAGAAAATAAAAACAAAACTTGGTCTCAATCAATGATGCTATGTTTGTGTTTTCAAGTCTTAAGATATTTATTGTTCGTGAGTTGAATTGGGTCGATGAATTCTAGAATGACCAAGTATGTATTGTTTTCGATTAGTAGTTTTATAGGTAGCTTTTCAGTAAGACGGTTTTATTTTGAACTAAAAGTATAAGTTTATGGGTTGGTTTAAAATGTTTTATTTAAATTTGTGCATATGTTATTAAACAAATTTTATTTCAAAAGTGAAAAATAACATTATAAATTTACATGTAAGAGAGTTGAATAAATTTTTAGGGTTATGTATTAGCAGCCCAGAAACCATGGAAGCCAAGAGGAAAATTGAGATGCTTTGGGACTTCAAGCCTTGCTACAACTGCATCGCCTTCTCCAATTTTTTTAGCCTCCAAAATCATAAGATAACATCTTTGTATTGATACTGCGTACTGCATTTACACACTCAAATCATTTACTTCACTTTCTTAATGTTTAATAAAAAAAAAAAAGTAAAAGATGTTTTATGAGTTTGCTAACCTCAACCACAAGAACATATCCATCGTCCTCTCCATCTCCTTTAGGAACAAAAACAGGTTCTCCGACGAATCTCCGATTACCCGCAGACCATGTTCGGGCGGTGTACGTGACCGTGTCAAGTTTTACAATCGTATCAAACGGAAACGACGGTAATGATTCCCGATAACCGGAGGAAGTTGCAGCATATAAGTAATTGTTTTTCATCCCTGAGAATGTAGGGTTTATCGCTGGAAAATCTGAGGCTTTTGTCCATTGGTTCAAAGGCTCCACGCTGCATTTTTCGCACTCCCCATTCTTACTTAAACTTATGGACACCTGCAAAAGATCGTTCGTTGGGAGGGAGTCCCACATTTGTTAATTTAGGAAAGCCCAAAACAAAAGTCATGAAAGCTTATGCTTAAAGTGGACAATATCGTACCATTGTTGAGAGTTGTGATTTCTAACATAGTAGCAGAGTCATGCTCTTAACTTAGCCATGTCAATAGAATCCTCAAACATGTAGTAAAAAATGATTAAAGTGTCGGAGCAAAGGGTGTATCTCAATTAAGAGGAGACTGTTCGAAGGCTCTATAGGCCTTAGGAGAGACTCTATGGTCTACTTTGTTCGATGAGAGAATTGTTGAGAATTATTGGGAAGAAGTCCCACCTTGGCTAATTTAGAAAATGATCATGGGTTTATAAATAAGGAATGATAACGATAATGATAGGTTCATAATAGAAGGTAGATAATGATAGGTTCATAATAGAATGTAGATAATGATAGGTTAACAACCTCCCATGCTCATGGGTTCAAAATAGATAATGTCAAAATACCATTATGCAGAGTCGTGATTCCTAACAAATTTAATAACATTTACCTTAACAAGGCGAGGCAACAACTCACTTTTGGTTCCATTGAGGTTCATAATTGACGGGTCGAGTTTTTCCGTCTGCCAATTATAACCTTGCAGGAATAGATAAGAGTGATTACCTTTTAAAACAAAATGGTTATGAAACGGGACGAGAAGTATTGAGGAAAATAGGTCGTACCGAATAGTTTGTCGAAATTGAACCATTGATAAGAGCAAGCAGAGGCATGGATTTGGAAGTCCAAGTTGCCTTGTGGGTTGGTAAGCTCAAAGGCATTGCCAACATGGAGTAGCCAAAGGCTTGAAGGAATTTGAATGGGCTGTCTCCAATCTCTGGTTGGGTGATGCTCACCAAATCTAGGCAACAAATAAACTGGAGATGTGGATTTGCTTGTGTTTACACCCAGCGCCGATATCATTGGAGATGCCCCGCTAACCGCACCCATCGCACCTTCATTTCCACATTCAATGCAAATATGTTTTCATTATTATTAAATATCATTCCATTATTTTAAATTTTTTAATTGATATATGTGAGATCCCGCATCCATTTGGGATAAGAACGAAACATTTTATAAGGGTGTAGAAACTTTTCTTTAATATACGCATTTTAAAACTTTGAATGGAATCTAGAGAGAGAAAGTTCGGAGAAGACAATATCTAATACTAGTGGGCTTGGGCTGTTATACAAATGGTATCAGAGCCAGACACGGGGTGATGTGCCAGCGAGGAGGCTGAGCCCCAAAGGGGAGTGGATTGGGGTCCCACATTGATTTGAGAAAGAAACGAGTGTCAGCAAGGATGCTGGACCTTGAAGGGGACGGATTGTGAGATCCCACATCGATTGGGGAGAAGAACAAAATATCCTTTATATAAGGGTATTGAAACTTATCCCTCTCTAACATATGCGTCTTAAAAAGGTCGGGGAGAAGAACAAAATATCCTTTATAAGGGTATTGAAACTTATCTCTCTCAAACATATGCGTTTTAAAAATGTAGGTAAAGCCCAAAAGAAAACAATATATATACTGATAGTGGTATTGAAACTTATCTCTCTCAAACATATGCGTTTTAAAAATGTAGGTAAAGCCTAAAAGAAAACAATATATATACTGATAGTGGACTTGGAGTCCAGAAGAGAAAGTCCAAAAGAGAACAACATCTGATAACGTTGAATTTTAGCTGTTACAATACCACTCTTATTAAACAATGAATTCATCTGAATCCAACTATAAAATATTTGAATTAAGTTGGTTTGAGTTATTCGAGTCATCTATTCAAATTAAAATTTTCTTATTATTATTATTATTATTTAATAATAATAATAATAATAATAATAATAATAATAATAAGAATAATAATAAGAATAATAAGAATAAGAACAACATACCGAAGAGATCAAGCTTTATTCTGTTAGCAAAGAGGATGTAATGAGTATCGGTAAAAGCCCAATCATGAATCATCAGGTGATCATCTATCACAAATTCTTTCTTCTCTAATAACTTGAAATTACTGTCAAATTCTGCACAAAGAAAATCAAGTTGTCATAAATGGTAACAAAATATATAAGAAATAAAATTAAAAAAAAAATGATATTATACCATAAAATGTGAAATGACTGGTAGGTAGAAGCATATCTTCAGCATTGCATGAGTTTAAGAGGAGGCGATTCCTTTGAGCGTCCACCTTGTAATGCGACAACAGCCTCCTTGGTGGCATCTTGAACACTCCTGTACCCATTATTCCCACATTCTATTTTTTAATTACTTTTTTATTATTTTTTTATTATTTTTTTATTTCCCATTTTGCCCACTCCACCATTATTATTATTATTATTTTTAATTCAAAACCAATTATTTTATATATTATTCTTACCTGCTTTCCTCTCCCCATTTCTATTGCTAATTCCTATTGTTTTTAATAATAATTATCTTCTTATTTTACCGGTTTTAATCCCTATTTCCACCCATGGTTTAATTTCAAATATTTATTCTAATTTTATATTTATTTTTAAAGAATTTTTAATAAAAATTTGTAAAATATCCTCCTAAATTTAAAAAAGAAATCCTCAACCTCTCTTCCCATTTTAAGAACTTTCTAAACAAAAATCTAAACAAAACAATATTTACTCGTGGTGGAATTTGGCCGTTACAAATGGTAACATAGTTAGACACTAGGTGATGTGCCAGCGAGGAGACTAAGCTTTGAAGGAGGTAGACACGAAAGCTCAAAGAGAACAATATCAGCTAGTGGTGAACTTTGGGCGTTACAAATAGTATTAGAGCAAGACATCGGGTGATGTGCCAGTGAGAAGATTGAGCCCCAGGGTGGACATGAGGTGATGAACCAGGAAGGACGTTGAGCCTCAAAGAGGGTAGATTGGAGGGTCCCACATTGATTGGAGAAGGGAAAAATGCTAGCAACGATGATGATCCCGAATGGGATAAATTGTGAGATCTCACGTTAATTAGAGACGCTGAGGGGAAGAGTGGTTGGCTATTTTTAAAAAATTAAATCTAAATAGTATAATATATGTTAGTAAAGTTTAAAATAAAACTAATTTATTATAATTTTATGAAATAAAATTCAAACTAGCATCACTAAATACCAACCGTAGAGAACAGGCTTCAAAAGCTCCGCAGCAAAACGCCAAAACCCAGCACCGTGACGTCCGCCCTGGGATGGCGAATCACGATCACAGCCACCGTCAACACCTGAAAACTTCCCGACAGTATCCAGAGTCTCCGGCTGAATCTCGTACGGATCTCCGCCCTCCCATAGGCACAAAAGGTGGCCGCCCCACTGCAGCACACTCGTATTCGCCACATTTTTCATAACCTTCGTATTCCCCAACTTCCTCCCTCCCTTCAACACTGAGAACGGCCCTCTATGCGTGAACCGCCACGTGTCCGTCGCAGGATCGTGCTCCTCCATCTTCGCCTCCGTTCTCACGTACTTCGCCATGAAACTGACCTCCTTTTTGTTCTCGAAAATGAATGCCCTGAGGTACCCGTGGCCGTCCAGGGGGTGTACTGTAGAGCCATGGTCGTCAGAGAACAGGCCTGGTCCGGCGAGGTAGTAGGTGCCGGAGGGGAAATTTTCGGGGATGGCACCTTCAACCAGGTGGAGGACAGTGGGGTCCGCCGTCTCGGTCCGCTGTGAAACGAAGAGGAACTGGTAGTCCCAGAAGGCTGCGATGGAATCATCAACCGTGGGGATCGACGGAGGAGAATTGATCGATATCTGGCCAGTGTTCAGGGAGGGAATGGATATGGCTTTGGGAATTAGAGAAGGCGGAAATCGGATACTGGTCGCCGGAGGAAGTTTGATCGGCGACGGAAATTGAGGTCGGAGAGATGGAGTGAGTTGATTGGCCTGCATCTCTCAGAAGTGTTTGTTAAGTTGGGGCTGCGACGGTGGTTCCCTATTTATAGAAGAAAATGACGAGCAGAGGTTAATAGTTTTAAGATGAATTGATAAAAAAAAAAAAAAAAAAAAAAAA